AATCCACAACCATCTCCACTGTCTTTAAAGAGACGAGCCCAGTGGGGATGAAACTGTATAAACTGCAGTGTTATTGCAGGCGGTGACACAACGTGTACGTTTTGTTTAGGTCATGCTGAGATGTTGTATTCTTGGACAGGTTCCTACAGTTTCATCCAGCAGCACATCCGAGAGACCGATCCGAGGACCATCCTGCGGGATCTGCTGCCGGAGACCGTGCTCCCGCCGGATTTAGACGACATGACATTGTGGCAGATCATCATCAACATCTCAGAACCTCCAAAAAGAAAGAAGCGGAAGGATATCAACACCTTAGAAGACGTAGTCCGGCTACTGCACGAGAGCAAAAGGATCCTCGTGCTGACTGGAGCTGGGGTATGTGTTCAGTGTGTTATATATGTGTTTGAGTGAAGACATTGCACCAGTGTTCGTGTTGTTGAATCAGAATGTTTTCTTTGTGTTTTGTTCTAGGTCTCGGTTTCATGTGGAATACCAGACTTTCGCTCCAGAGATGGAATTTACGCCCGGCTTGCTGTAGATTTTCCCGATCTTCCGGACCCTCAAGCTATGTTTGACATTGAATACTTCAGACGGGACCCGAGACCCTTTTTCAAGTTTGCTAAGGTTTGTTCATTGGGTCCAAATCAAAGCTGATAACGACACATTGAAATAGTTTGATCGCCCTCAACGAAGATCCTGGTGTGTGAGTTATAAGACCATCCAGGCTTCTAAACACCAACAAAGACTTTAAGAATAAAAGTTTTCCAGTTGAAGAGGCGATTATAAAACGCTCTGTATTTAAGTTCACACGTGTTGAATGCCTCCTCTTTGTTACAGGAGATCTACCCTGGTCAGTTCCAGCCTTCACCCTGTCACAAGTTCATATCTATGATGGACAAACAGGGAAAGCTGCTGCGCAATTACACGCAGAACATCGATACGTTAGAACAAGTGGCCGGAGTCCAGCGGATTATCCAGTGTCATGGTAAGTGACGCAGCTAATAGATCGAGCTTCTTACGTTTATATAGTTCTGTCCGAGGTGATGGCGAAGAGTCATTAATAACCTTTTATTCCAGGTTCTTTTGCAACTGCGTCCTGCCTCAACTGTAAACACAAAGTGGACTGTGAGGCTATAAGGGAAGACATCTTTAATCAGGTATTTATTCGTTACAGACTGATCCACAATAACACGTTTACATGCACTATAATACACTGTAGTTTCCCACAGCCCCTTAATCCGATTACATACACTTTTATACACATTAAGCAACAATGCCTGCAAATGAAAACACACAACAAAGTGTCCAACAACATTCAGCATTTTATGGTTATTGCATGAAAATACTTGAACAATTAATATAATAAATAAATAATAAACAGCCATTATTAATTGCTGCATTGCATTATTTGCAAGCTGGGAGCCGTTGTTAATGTTTATGAGCTCCACCTGCTCAGAACGAGGCTGTGAAAGATGGTTTTAGACACAAAAAGATGCAAAGACGGACAGACTTTGATGCTCTTTAAGCAGTTTAGTATTTTTTCTCACCTTTTTTTAAGAGAAGCAGGACAGAAAAGGTTTGAGAAACACTTCAGTTGTGTTTGTAGTGCGTTTATTGTTACTCGTGTTACCGCATCGTATTGTAAATCTATATGAATGTCATCAGTATTGTCCAGACAAGCATCAGCCAGGGCTTTAATTATCTCCACAGACGACTTTGAGTCTCGGAGGAGTTGTATTGATTTCAGTGGAAAGGTGGAAAGGTGCCAGAGTTATTAGAGTTTGTGTTTTTCTTTAGTTTTTAGTTATATTTCGTTTTAAATTTTTATTTTCATTTCATTTTCCAGAGTGGAAAATGGTTTCAGTTTAAAAATGTTTAGCTTTCAGTTAGTTTTAGTTTTTTTATTATAATATCAGATTTAAGTCCACAATATTATATTACAATACATTTCTTGTATATCTTCAGGTTATTTTAGTTTAGTATTGTTTCAGTTAGTTTTAGTTTAGCTTTAGCCAACTATAATAAGCTCGATAAGCAGCCTGTTCATTGACATTAACACACTGTGAATAATACTCGTAGCAGCATTCAACACCAAAACTATTTGCTTAACTCGATGCTGCGAGGGGAAAACGGAAAATGTGTATTGATTTATTGAACTTTTATTTTGTAATGTGGGTGTTTTTTATGTTTTTTTATGTATTTATGTTTGAACTGTGATATGTGGTTTTCAGCTCCAGCACAAACTGACGCAGTGATATCCAGAGAGACATACCTTTTTAAATAAACATCTCTTCCCAAAGATATTGCACCATCTATCAACGTATGACAATCGGTTAACTGTGGAAGTAAATCAAGGTGCCACGATACTCCTGTTAACACACAACATTGTGTCATAACGCTATAAAATCCTCTCGTCCCGCAGGTCGTCCCTCGTTGTCCGCGGTGTCCAGATATTCCTCTGGCCATCATGAAACCCGACATCGTCTTCTTCGGGGAGAATCTTCCAGAGATGTTCCACAGAGCCATGAAGCAGGATAAAGACGAGGTGGACCTCTTGATTGTCATTGGCTCTTCGCTTAAAGTCCGACCAGTTGCCCTCATCCCAAGTACGTTCTGTTTTGTTTCTGTAAGTAAACAATAACCGATGTGTTTCTGCGCTGTAAACAAACACTTAACCGGTTTCTCTCCGTCCCATCCAGACTCCATTCCTCATGAAGTGCCTCAGGTCCTGATCAATAGGGAGCAGCTGCCTCACCTCAACTTCGACGTGGAGCTACTCGGCGACTGTGACGTCATTGTGAACGAGCTCTGTCACCGGTTGGGTGGAGACTTTGAGCAGCTCTGCTACAACACTGTAAGACTCACTGAGATCACAGAGAAACCCCCCCGGTTACCAGAACAGCCACCAAGCGAGGCCTTGCCTGCTTCCAGCGACGCGGCTCAGGAGGAGCAGAAGCAGCACAGTACAGACTCCCTAACTAAGCCTTCAGAGGAGACGCAAAGTCCCAATGTCACAGAGACTGCCGGTAATGGTGTTACACCTCCAGAGCCTTGTCCAAACGCCCAGTGTCCCAGTGAGGAGACGGCTGAGCCTTCAGAGTTATCAGCAGAAGACGCACCAAAGGAGGAGGCCGCCGAAGTAAAGAGCCAAACCTCCACCCTTGAATTTCGTCGGCGATGCTGGATGAGTCGAGTCAACAGAAGTCCAATCAGCAAACGCCTTGAGAGTAAGCTTCAGAGCGTGGTAGAGAGAACTGACAGTATATAATATATATAATATATATACACTCTGATGTATCTTACAGTGAGACAGGTGTGTTTAAAGGTCCAGTGTGTAACACTTAGGATGATCTATTGGCAGAAATAAAATAAGTATGTTTTCATTAGTGTATAATCACATTAATATAGGAATCCTTGTGTTTTTGTTTCCTTAGAATTAGATGTTTTTTATCTACAGACAATCGCAGGTCGCCTTCTGTGGAGTCCACCATGTTTCTACAGTAGCCCAGAACAGACAAACCAAACACTGACAGATTGAGTCTTTGTGGCCACCGTAGTTTCTCCAACCTGTTCTCATTCTCTGGTCGACAAATACAGACGTGAGCGGTGTCTCCAGCTTCACCACTAGATGCCACTAGAATCTACACACTGGTCCTTTAAACTAACCCGTTCATCCCATTAAAGGTCCAGTGTGTAGGATTTAGTGGCATCCAGCAGTGTTGTTCCACATCACAACTCCCTCGCCTTCAGAGCATGAGAGAGAAACTATGGAGTCCACAAACCCCCCCCTATCTAGAGCCAGTGTTTGATTTGTCCCTTCTGGGTTACTGTAGAAACCTGGTGGACTCATGGAAGTGATTAAACACTAATGAAAACCTATGAATATTAAATTTCTGCCAATAGATCCTCCTAAATGTTAAACTGGACCTTTTTTAATGAAAGAGTTTCTTTAATCTAATATAATAAATAGACAGATAACTTTATTAATCCCACA